TTTTAAAGCTTGCTTTTAGTAACCAAAAATGAAGTTTCATGCACTAGATAGTTCTTTGGATAGTGGAGAGGTTGTTGTTTGAAAATGATTGTTTTGATAAAAAAAAAGGTGTCAAGATTAGTTTTCATCAACCTATTCCACATTTATTCGATTAACTTTGCATATGAACTAATCAATGATCAATACATTCACGCATCCTCTTAATATTTCTCATGTCTAAGCAATATTGTGAGTGTTATCATGTTAATCTTTAAATGATCTCTCAATCTAACTATTAACATGATAATCTTTAATGCTTGATAAAAGTTAATACTAGCTCACAAATATATGCCTAGAGTTTGTTCATTAGTAGATGGATATCTTAGGTCAAGCTTGGAACTTACTTCTCAATAATGGACTAAACCATAAAAGTAACAATGATACAAATATATTCAACATGTATTAATCTTCAACCAAGTTCATATGCAAAATGATTAAAAGAAATACATTAAGTCTAGGTTGACTACTTCTAACCTTGACACAAAAAGTGTTTAACTACTCATTGTCATGATACCTTTCTCAATGGGTAGGCAATGGATGTTGATGAACATTAATCTTCAAGTCTCCTTGAAGAAAGATGCAAGAGCTCTTGTTTTCTTCCTTCTTTAAGATAAGAACAAAAATATACTTTCTATGTTGTAATGTTATAATCCAAAAAACAAAAGGTTTCTATATCATAAATCAGAATGTTTTCTCTCCCAAGACAAAAGTTGGTGGAAAGTTTCCACAAAAGTTGGAAAAAAGTAGCCAAAAGTATGGCCTAACCGCGCTCCATCGTCGGGTGACCATAAAGCATCGCCATGCGATTTTAGCTAGATGCCACACGTGACCAACTAGGTGTGTTACAACCCCAAAAGAGTATCTTTCATCGCCCGATGACAAGAATGCTTCGTCGGGCGATCCTCCTTTCGCCAAGCGCCCTAGAAGCAAAGCAATACAGGATTGTAGCTTCTTTTTTTTCATCATTTTCTCCGGGCGACGCCTACTTTCGCCGGGCGATCCTTTGCAGCAACTCACTCTTCCTTCATAAGCTTGGTTAGCCTAAATTCTCCATTTTTTGCATCTTTCCTGGACAAGTTTAGCTGAAACACTAACAAACACATTAAACATTCAAAACTTTTTAAATACTACGCAAAATGACTAAAATAACTATTTAACCTAATCAAAAGTAAAATAAAAGGTCTCAAAGTGTCAATAATTGATATGTATTTTATGCACAAATTGACACTTAACACCTTCCCATTTCCACTTGTCTCGCCCGACGACATTGGGGCGATTGGCTCGCCCCAAGCTCGCCTGACGGTGGTCACAAACCTGCAACTTCTCAGTGCGATTTCTACATTGTTCCATCCATTCCAAATGCGATTACATGTATCACACTCGTCCCAAAACACATTATAACCATCATATATCACATATTTAACATCAAAACATGTATAAGAACATATTGGGATTAAATCATGGTATTGACATATCATCAACATTAAAAATTCATCAACATGTCTTCAAATCAATCACATGTCTCATCAAATCAATCATACAATAAAATCCTACATCGATCTTAACCCACTATCGATAATAATAAATTTGATTAAACCTCTTACCTCAAATTCCTATCGCTCGATCTTTTCCTTTGCGTTCTACAGAATCCTCTTCTGAGCCCTAGCATCTTCTTCGCATTTCTCCCAACATTCACGATCTCATAAAATGAATCTCTATTCTTCCCTATTCTATTTTTATCCCTAGGAACCCTTTTATTTTATTCCTCTTATACACTCACTTATCACCATATATTACCACCACGCCTTTGTTATTTCTACACACCAATTATTCTATTTAATTATTATTAAATAATTCTGAATCTTATAGACTATATTATATCATCTAAATAATTAAACTAAAATTATCTAAATCCAAATTATTCTAATTAGAACCTTAGTCCACTACTACCCCACAACATATCATCATACTGCACACATATAATCACTAATAATTCATAAATAATCAATTAAATAAATCATTCTAATTTTGGGGTGTTACAATAACTCGGAAGTGAATCCCTGGTCCAACAAACCTCTATTAAAGAACATATCCCATCTCAAGCACAATGAATAGTGAACCCTAATTCTCTTTGATATGCACAATGATGAAGAAAGTAACTTTAGATGCTGAGGAAGTTCCTAGATTAGAGCATTCTCAACTGAAAACAATGATAAACTCTAAGCACAACATATGAAACCCTAGCACTTGACCTTGAGGTATCTTGATGAATAAGCTTGATGAACTTTGATAAGGAAGATGCTCACGACAAACTTGAATTTAAAACCCTAGCTTCAAACCATGATTGATTAATGAACCTAATAATTTATGCTTGAGAGAAGACGAGAGCCTCAAAAAAATAGAGAAACCCTAACTCTTGAAGATCCTTGATCCGATGCCAAGTTATTGATTAATGATGTATGACGTGTAAAATGACCTAATGGAAAGGTAATTCATCAAAGGAGAATGAGATGCATCAGCCATAAGATTTGATAAAGGGTAGAAAAAATTTGGGGTATGAAAATACCTATGAAAGATTCTCGACAAGTTTGATATATCGAATTCAAAGCCTGTTCTGACTCCGACAAACCCTCAATTCAAGCCGGGTATATATCAGTATCCTAGTACTGAGGTCGAAAGAGCTTATATGAATAGCATCCCATATGCTAATATAATAAGTTCTTAGATGTATTATATGGTCTGTACTAGACCCGACAAAGCATATGTAGTAAGTCTTGTAAGCAGGTACATGGCGAATCCTGGAAAGACTCACTAGAAAGCATTAAAGTGGATTCTAAGGTACATAAATGGGTCTCTGAATAGAGTCCTAATTTATTGTGGAGCCTATGGCGAAGATAGTAAAGCAGTAATCGAAGGGTATGTCGACTCTGATTATGTAGGTTGTCTGAATTCTAAAAAATCTATTTCTAGATATATGTTCAATATGTTTGCCATATCAATCAGTTGGAAAGCGACACTTTAGAAGGTTGTCGCCTTATCAACCACTGGAGTATAATATATTACCCTGACTGAAGCTGTGAAAGAAGCATTGTGGCTTGAAGGTTTTGCTAAGGAGTTAAAACTTCAAGGTCAAGTTATCACTATTAAATGTTATAGTCAAAGTGCAATACACTTGTCAAAGAATTCAACCTATCATGAGAAAACAAGCACGTCGATGTGAGGTTGCATTTGGTCAGAGGGGTAATCGAGTGTGGAGAAGTCCAAGTGTTGAAGGTTTTGACATATCACAATGTTGTATGAAGAAAGCTAGTTTATTCCCTTGATGATATAGGGTTTGTTCTAAGGTGGATATTTGTGAGATATTGGATCGTACTCTATTATAGTCGAAGGGTAGCTTCTTGATTTGACCATTCGACAAGATCTAAGCATGAGGTCGAAGTTGGTTCGTATGCTGGGGTCGTAGACCTACAGTGTTGTAGTCGAAGTATGTTCATGTATGCAGTAATCAAAATGCTAGAAATGTTAGCATGTCGAATTGAGTTTGTTTATTATGCTCAATTATTTAAGTTAGCTTGTTCCCTAAGTTAGCTAGTAATGGGCTTGTGTGTAAAAGCTCATTAGTTTAGTGTGTTAGTTTTCTAATAAATAGCATACTAGTCTCTCATCATTGCACATTCACACTACAAATCCTAATTAGAGTGTGAGAAGTTATTTATTATTCTGAAACACTTGTAATCTTGTTTCAAAGAGAAATTAAAGAATAACAGTTTATAACCAATCTTATTATTTTCTCCTTTTCTATCCTTGTGGGTTTCTTACCGTCAAAGAAATCGTTTATACTTTATCATTTTAGTATCGTTTTTCACAACAAAATCAAACTTTAAAGTTAAAGATATCATCCGTTTTTTTTTTTTTACCATTTGTTGATAGGAAATGGTTTCACCACAAGTTTTTGTTTAATACACTACATCAATTAATTTTTTAGAAGCGATCACTAATATTTTGATATTCTTCCATCTACACAAACTCATAACTTCTCCTTAAAAATTGAAGTTTCAATTGCTTCACCTTTTTTCCACAATTATGATACTTTTCCAAGATGTCTCATGTTTCATTTGTGCAAAAGAAATGGTTTCACCACAGATTTTGAAATGATTCCCTACATTAATTAATTTTTGAAAAGTAACCACTTATTTTGTTGATAAGAAATGGTTTCGCCACATATTTTCAATTGATTCACTACATTAATTAATTTTTGAAAAGTAACCACTTATCTTTTGATCTTCTTCTATCTAAATCAACTCATAATTTCTCAAAAATTTAAAATTCACTTGCTTTACTTTTTCTCCACCAAATACTTCTCTAAGATGAATCACGCCTCCTTTAATCTTATAACCTTTGAGATTTTATCAAAATGATTGAAGTTCACGTTTAATTGAATATAGAAAAAAGCTTTGTAATCTTTTTTCTTTAAATCTTTGAATGTTGTCCTTTGTACATGATCTGCTCTTAATTTCTCATAATCATTTTGCATCATTTTAAGCACTAATTTGAGCTCCAAAAAGCGACTTCGTCAAAGCACTCTATAGTTATCAATTGCTTCCATCAAGAACTAAAATGTTAGATGGAAAATCATCATTTATATTCATGATTGTGGAGCAAGAACATTGAAAATCACTCACCTCACAATGTGTTTCTCAATGATATCCTTTTACTACTCTCTCGTGTTTCCCTAAATTTAAGTGAAAGTTGTACCAAAAGAAGTGAAAGGCATGTACAAGTAGAAGACTATCTTACACATGCTTAAAAGGAAAGACAAAGAAACATACAACAAAACGTCACCTGTCATTGATAATGCATGTTGCGTGTTGTCGCATATAGATACCCCAAATCTTATAACTTCTCTTTCTCTCTATATATAAAAGAAAGTGCATCATAATTCATGAGAACATAAACAAAAAATGTGTAGTTGGTTGCAATGCAGGATGACTTTCATGAAGTATCTTTGATCGGAGCAGCCATATTGATGGTGGAGGCGGTGGTGGCATTGGACGGTGTTCCACTTGGAACGGATTCTCGATGGATTGTGAATAAAAATGGGCAGAGAGTTAAGCTTGCATGTGTGAATTGGGTGTCTCATTTAGATGCTGTTGTGGCTGAAGGGCTCAGTAAAAAGCCTGTTGATGAAATATCGAAAGGAATAAAGAGCATGGGCTTTAACTGTGTTAGGCTGACTTGGCCCACTCTTCTTGCCACTGATGACACTCTTTCTAATTTTAAGGTTAGGCAATCATTGGAGAATCATGGCCTCAAGGATTCTATTGCTGGTTTTCAATCCAATAACCCTTCCATCCTTGATCTTTCACTCATCCAAGCTTTTCAGGTACTACTCTTTCACTCATGTTGTAAAAGTTCTCAACTATCTTAAATAAATAATATTTTGAATAAATTGGAACGATACTTTGTGATGATTCCAGGCCGTAGTGAAGAGTCTTAAGAACAATGATGTGATGGTGATTTTGGACAACCACTTAACAAATCCAGGATGGTGTTGTGGTAATACCGATGGGAATGGGTTTTTTGGTGATCAATATTTTGACCCGAATGAATGGGTCACGGGTCTAACCAAAATGGCCACTCTTTTCAAAGGAGTCCCTAATGTTGTAGGCATGAGCTTGAGGAATGAACTCAGAGGCCCAAAACAAAATGAAAATGATTGGTACAGGTATATGGTGCAAGGAGCAGAAGCAGTTCATGCAGCGAATCCAGATGTTCTTGTAATTCTATCTGGATTAAACTTTGATAAAGACTTATCCTTCATTGCCAAAAGACCAGTGAACCTATCATTCCAAGGGAAACTAGTATTTGAAGCACACAGGTATGCATTCACTGATGGTCAAGATTGGATAAATGAAAACCCAAATCAAGTATGTGGACGAGTAACTCAAAACTTGAGGGACACATCGGGTTACTTGGTGGGTCAAGGATATCCATTGATTATGAGTGAGTTTGGAGTTGATTTGAGAGGGTACTAATGTCAATGACAACCGTTATCTTAGTTGCTTTATAGCATATGCAGCTGAACTTGATTTGGATTGGGCCTTGTGGACATTGCAAGGGAGTTACTACATTAGAGAAGGGGATGTTGAACATGAAGAGTTTTATGGTCTTCTCAATTTGAATTGGACACAAGTTAGAAATACTGGTTTCTTGCAGAGGATTACTTCCTTTCAACTTCCATTTCAAGGTAACTTATTGTCCGTCTATTTGTAATTTTGTCTTTGAATTGATCTTTCAACCATTAGATTTTTTTGATGGATGAGATGACGGAGGTCTCTTCCAACTTAACCAGAGATTCTGAGTTTGAATTCACTCACGAACATACAATATTGTTAAATCTTTTAAGGAGAGTTTGCGTCTATTATAAGTTTACAAGACCCTAGACCTGATTTTATTTCTTACGGATTATATTATTTATTTTTAGCATTTTTTAATGCTTAAATTGTTTTTCTTATTGAATATTGTTCAGGTCCAGGCATAAT